CACTGGCTCTTGTGTCCCTGATCCTGGCTGGCTTAGAAAGCTGGGGGATCACAGCGTGAGACTCTATTGAGGGTCCTCTCTCTCTCTCTCTCTCAAGAATTAAAAAAAAAAAAAAAAAACAATAGGACCAGCCAGTGGTTGGGGCAGCTGAGTCCCACATGGCCAACTGTGCAGTTTGAGTCCCAGACCTGGCAGCCTGAAAAGCATGCCATGTGTACGCATGCCCAAAATCCCAAGAGGAGAATAGAGGAGAAGGGATTGTGGTATGGCCATCCTCCCTGGCAGATTTTTTCTCACTTTCCCTTTCTCTCTCTCTCTCTGTCTGTCTCTCTCCAGACAGTGCATATACCTAGCAAAAATACACACACACATCCATCCTTTCTCTTTATAGTGTCCCTTCACACTTAGGATAAAGTCCCAACTTCTCACCATGGGCCCTGGAATGCATTCATGCTATCTTGTTCCTCATGTTGTGCCGCTTCCTGTCTGGTCACACACGGCCACCCTTCAGGCCTCTCTTCAGTGCTGCCCAGTCACCTGAACACAAGCTGTCCTCGGCCCCCATGACCTCGCGTCATCGCACACCCCCCCGATTGATTTCATACATGCGATGGGATCTGTGCTTCTCCTCTGTCTATGGTGAGAGGATCCGTGGTTTGGTTATTGTTTTCCAAAACATTGCAAACCAGTACTTATAAAATACAAGGGAACCTCAGAAAGTTCATGGAGAATGGAAATGTATGAGCTTATTTCAGTGCAGAAAAGAATCTTGAGATCATTTTATTATAACACACATTTTCCACAAATTTTCTGAAGATCCTTCATAGACAGTAAAAATGAATTCTAGAAAGAAAAGACAAAGACAGAATTAAAGTCCCATTTGTAATTATTAGATTAAACTGTAGTCAAAAATTATACTTTAATAAACAGAAATTGAAAACACACATGAATGTTGCAACAAGTTGATTTCTCTCTTTTCCCGTGGACTCAGCAAATACTTGGTGCACCATTCCTGGTCTAGACCCACTGTGGATAGGGCTGCTCCAGACTTGGCTTTAAAAGTCATCTCCTTAGGCACCTTTTCTGATTCGCTCATCTAAAGTAGATTCTTGTATGCCCGTACACACACGGTACTCGGTCTCTCTTCTGAGGCTCCTATTGGTTTCCATTCATGGCACAAAGAATTTGTGATTGGTGTCACAGGAGCAGTTCCTTATCTTGAAATCAGTCTATTGCATGGCTGGTAGGCAGTTACTCTGGCTCTTTGACTACCCATGTTCCCTGTCAAAGGTGCTTCTGGTCCCTGCCTGTGAGCGCCGGGAGGGGACAGGAAGAGAGCACCCTGTGTCACAAAGCAACACCTGATCCTCCACTGAAGCTTACACAGATTTGACCACCAGTTCCAGTTCTAGTGGTAGAATTCCATCTGTAGGGAGGGGGCGGGATTAGACACTCATGTGGTAGTCCCTGCATCAGTCATGGAGAATGGCTGGGATCCGTGAGGTCATCCCCACATGACCCACTCATTCCTGGTGGAGACTGTTCTATCCACCACCTCTTTCTCTTCCTGAGCCATCTTTCTTTCTTGCCCTCTGCTTCCCAGCTGTACTGTCCCCTTCGTCTCACTCACAGTTGTCCTCTTGAAGTCCCACCTCATTTTTCCCAGCCTAGAGCCCTTTTCCAGCCTCCTCTTAAGTCAGGAGAATCCTTGGTTTCTCCAGCATGGGGTATGAACATTGTTTTTGTGCAATAAGGGGTGTTTGTGCTGAATGTTTCATTTTTTACGTACACTGTATTGCACCATGATCTGCACACCAGCGGGCATTGTTTCAGAAGTATTTGGACACTGACCTCTATTTTAGTGTATGTCTCAAAGGTGAGCCTGGCAGAGCACTGTCTCACATCACTAAGACGTCTATAAATGCACACAACTTCTGCCTGTTGTGCCATGTGCAGAAGCTCTGATAAAACTATTCTCACGTCTCAACTTTTATTTTTTCCCATTAAAAAATGGGGGGCAGGGGGAACCAGATACCTCATGATAATGGCAGCTCCTTGCCGGTGGGAGAGTAGTTGACAGAGAAGGATTCTGGTTTGTTTAGAAGACTTTGAAGTTTTCATTCACTCTAATACAAATGTTTATCAAGAAAAGTGCTGGATAATACAAAAATGTAAACGATATTTAAAGGGTTTATGGATTATGCAGGTATAAGACACATAAGGTGCACAGAGGGCCCAGGAATTCCAAGGCCCCTGCCTGGGCGCTCAGGGAGTATTTCCTGAAGAAGCTGGTGTTTGTGGTAGAATTCAATCTGACTAGGAAGAAATAGCCAGTGGCGGGAAGGGAGAGGGCGCTGTAAGTTGGGAGGAGGGAGGACCAAGAGGGAGCTTGTTTGGGGAAGCAGCCCTGCTCAGGCCATTTCTAGCCAACACAGGGAAGGCAGAGGGTCTCTGGCACTGCACCCCACCCTCTGCACCCCCTGCAAACTAGCTCACAACCATCAAATCCCACAAGAGCGAATATGGTGACATGGTGAAAACTGGACTCTGAACCATTTGGTAGGAAGGCTTTCTCCCACTGGTCTGCACTGAGTCCTAACTCTCCATCCTCAAACTGGAGTGGAGCGTTGGCAGCTGGCGGACGGTAATCCTTACTAGTTTCTGGCTGGATCTCAGCAGTGCCTTGTTTGGATTCCATCTTAACAACTGAATGTCCGGACTCCAAAACTCAAAAGCATTAACTGTTGGGAACCAGCAGTTGGCGTAATGGCTATGTCGCTGGACTCCCACGTAGTCGACCGCGGTTTGTGTCCTGGACCCGGTGGCTTGGAACTCACGCCGGGCGCGTGTGCGTGCATGCCCAAGATCCCGAGAGGAGAATGGAGGAGAAGGGATTGCGGCGTGACCATCCCCCCTGGGGGGTGATTTCTCGCTTTCTGTCTCTATGTCTCTCTCTGTCTGTCTGGCGAGCGCACGCGCCCTACAGTGAAAATCTCTCAAAAAAAAAAAAAAAAAGCATTAACTGTTGCTAATTTCTGAAGTCGTAAGAAACATTAAAAGGAAAAAAAAAAGTTGCAAAAGGATGTTTGTCCTTGCCATCCACGGCTTTCCACAGGGATATTTTGTTCAACCTAGAACCAGCTGCAGAGGGGATCTGAGTCACTGGCTGAGCCCAAAGGAGTTCTAAGGAGAAGCCATTCCTTTTACTCACTAGAATCGCTAGAACACATGGGCTATTTCAAAAGCTAGCCATGTGGTCATTGTTAACAGAGCTGTTTGCCATGAACTTGAGTCCTCATGTGTGTAGGCGCCTGTCTATCTGTCTGCCTGTGTAGACTGTCTGCCTCTTAGGGAAGATGTGGAGAAGAGGGGCTAGCAGAAATCCAGTTAGCCCCAGAGCAGAGCTGTTCTGGATGGAAGGTGGAAGCCCCCTGTGCCTCAGATAGTTCTATACTGGGACTTGTGCCTAAGCTTCCCCAAGTCTATAGTTACCAACACTTTTGCTGGTTTTTTGTTTTTTGGGGTTTTTTTTCAAGTTAAAAGAAACACTCCCACCTTCTACCCCCATCCACCACACTGCCTGGGGGTTTCCTTTATAGCAGAGCTAATGATCTGGCAGGTGCCACCATTAGAAACCCCGCAAGGTGTGAAGATAAATGTTTCCACTTAGGGGAAAATGTATCTCCATTACAAGCCGATTATGACAGTCTCGGAATTAAAGCTTTTACAATGGATGGCTTTTACCTGGCCTCTGAGGAAACGTGGCGATCAGACGCTTCCAGCTTCTCTGAATGTTTGGGGCATCCCTGGTGCAATCCAGGTATCCTCATCGCGTAAGAAGCATGGCAGTGCCTCGGTGTGGGAAGAGTGGCATGCCAGCAAGTCTGGGCTCCAGTGACACAAGTAGCTTTTGTATATTTATTTATCCATTTATTTAGGTGTATTTATTTTCATTTTCTTTCTCTAACATCATGGGCTATAGGAGTCAGAAAAACCCTAAAACAGTAGAATAAGTATTCTACAGAGGAGAAAAGTCAAGGCATAAGGAGGATATGTGACCTGTTTAAGGGCATACAATGTGTTGGTAAAAGAACCAAACCTTGGGGCCAGCAGGTGGTGTAGTGGTTGGGGCACTGGATTCCCACATGGTCGGCCACAGTTCGAGTCCCGAACCTGGCAGCTTGAAACTCACATGGGGCACGTGTGTGTGCATGCCCAAAAATCCTGAGAGAATGGAAGAGAAGGGATTGTGGCATGGCCATCCCCTCTGGGGGGGAGGGGGCAGGTGATTTCTCCCTTTCTATCTCTGTGTCTCTGTGTCTCCAATGAGCACACACGGCCTATAGCAAACATCTCTCAAAAATAAATAATAGAACCAAGCCTAAAACCCAAGACCCCTAACTCTCATCCCCTCTGGTCCCGTTGTACCACTGTACTTGTGAGCAGGAGGCTGTGACCTTGATCTGCAAGCAGACCTGGGAGAATGGCTCCATGTTTGTCATTGGCCAAACCCCAGCAGGGAATTGGGGGGTCAAATTGGGGGCACTGCCCCATGATTTGAATAGTCCCCGATTACTACAATGGTCATAGAAACAGGCTTGGGATAGCTGTGCCATTCGGTAAAGACTGTGTCCATAAATATCTTAATTTTATTTACCAGGTTGTCTGGCACATAATAGCATGCATTATTAATAGAGTAGCTTAATACTATCTATGAAATAGGCATATTCTTTGCATTATAAAAACGAACCTCTCTTTTACAACGTTCTTTAAATGCCAAGTGAGAGCCACACATGCTCGGAATATTCTTTCAGGCTCCCGTTGAACCTTACATAACAATACAAAAGAAGGAACCCTCTCCAGTACAACTCAGTAGTCTGGCAGTTAGCACGCAAGCACGTCATCTAGTGGCTGAGTTCTCCTAGACCAGTCTGCACCCGAAGGGCTTCCAACAGATAAGCATGTGGTTCTGAAACTCTTATTCTCCCCAACTGCCCAAGTTTGTCCACTACCTCCCATGGTGAGTCACGGAGATTTCATCTGCCACCCGCGGCCTTGTGAGCGCTACAACCACGGGACCGTGGTGGAGTTTTACTGCGATCCTGGCTACAGCCTCACCAGTGACTACAAGTACATCACCTGCCAGTACGGAGAGTGGTTTCCTTCCTATCAAGTCTACTGCATCAAATCAGGTAAGACCGATGGCCTGGACCTTGGAGGAGACACCTCTCCTTGCACAGTCTGCACAGGGCCGACGCTGGCTATGTACTGGGCTGCGTGCCCCTCCCACACCCAACCTCAAAAACCTGATGCACAAAGGGGCCAGCAGGTGGTGTGGTGGTTAAGGACTCCCACCTGGTTTGAATCCCAGACCCAGTGGATTAAATATCACATCAGACGCGTGTGCATGCATGTCCCAAATCCCAAGAGCAGAATGGAGAAGTAGGGATTGCGGTGTGGCCATCCCTGGTGGGAGGGTGATTTCTCACCTTCCCTCTCTCTGTTTCTCTCTGATGAGTACACATGCCCTGTGGCAAAAACAAAACAGCAAACAAACGAACAAAAATTCGGGATGCGTAGAAACATTCATGGCTCTCCAGGGCTGGTGTGGGACTCTGTGCTAGATGATTCTAGGCCCCTCTCAGAGGGTCAGGAGTACTAACTTGACAGTCCCTGGTTAAAATGCTGAACAAGGTCCCTGGGCCCTCAGCATCTTTGGAAGGGCCCCCAGCCTTTATGTCCTGTTTCTCCCTGTTTCTCTCATGGGTGTGACCAGAATTCTGCACATTGCCCGGAGCCTCAGTGAGTCATAACTCCTCCTTTCTCTTCCACTCAAGGACACACATCAGAATACAAATGATACTATCATGGGTAAGAGTTGCTCTCACTTAGAAAACTGTAGACCATTTGCAAGCTTCAGTGCTTCGCAGTTAATAACAAGGCACTTGCAAACGAGCCTGGCCCTGATCTCTGCACACTGGGGTAGTGACCACACAATGGAGGCCTGGGTTCCAGCACATATCCGCTGTCCCCTGTGCTCCCCGTCCTGTCCAGTCTCTCTAGCATTTTCCAGACTGTGACCACCGTGACTGCCCTAAGCAGAGATGGCAACTGTGTACTTTTTCAGTGGGCACACTATGTGGGGGAAACACCATCCAGCATCTGTCGGGCCACAGCTGGTACTGTGAGCCAGTCGGGTGGAAGCACAGAGAGGGGCTGCAGGCACCACTGAGTGTGACAAGGGCGGACGGAGAAGGCTTCATCAAGGGAGGGAGGAGTCCGAGAGGCAGCAAGGTCTGTGCCAGTAGGAGGGCCTACTCTGGCTATGCTTACCTGATGGACAGTCGGCAACCAGAGGTGTCAGAAACTGAGGGCCACAGGCCAGGCCTGTCCCTGTTGTCCTGTGCTCCTCACTTCACCCCACTGTCCACCCCAACCAGCCCTAT